GCTGGTGTTGAAACTCTGGCTTGGGCTTCAATGGTCTCCTGGGCCCAGGGACAGAGGTGTGGGCCCAGACCCAAGGTTGGGCTGGCCAGGGTCGATGGAGGCCTATGGATGCTCTCAGTGCCCTGACACTGCGCCCATGGGATCCCCCCTGGCAGTGCCCTCGAGAGGCCAAGTTCTCCTGCCCTGAAGTCCAGGGCCTGTGCTCTGCTCCTCTCCTTCCCCACGTCCCTGGGGATCTGGGAGACCAGGATTTCATGGGCACACCCTGACAATGGTATTCACATCCCTGACCAGCTCTTTTGGGAATACCAGGTCCAGGTGAGCAGACTGAAAGGACTGTTCGCCATCTGTGCTAAGAATATTTCCACAAACACCACAAGAAATGTCCTGGGTGGTTTGCATGCTGCTGTCCCACATGACCAGTGAATACCAAGGAAACCATGTCCTTTAGAAGAGCCAGGTTGTGTGATCCACTGATTTCCTGCAATCATTCAATTAAGACATTGTTCACTCCTCACCCTGGCTGTATGACCTGTAAATGGCTAGGATAGAGTTGATTTTCTTCATAGCAGCCCATAGAGTGATGTGCTTTGGATTTGTTACTAAACTAGCACTGATAACACAACAGTGTTTTGGCTGTTGCTGAACAGTCCTTGCAGAGCATGAAGGCTTTCTCTTTTTCCCACTCTTCCCCTGCAGCAAGTAGGCTGAGGGTACACAAGAAGTTGGCAGGGGCACATCTGAGACAGCTGGCCCCAAAGGAACAAAGAGATTTTCCATTCCATACGATGTCAGGCTCAGAAAAAAAAAAAAAAAAAAAAAAAAAAAAAAAACAAAAAAACCAAACTCAAACTCAATGAAAGAGGAAAAAGGGGAGATTTTCGTAGTCATGGCATTTGTATTCCCAAGCCCTGCTTTCCTAGCAATGACTAAACTGCTGCTGATGGGACGTAGTGCATGAACTCCCCATTTTGCTTTGCTTGCACACGCAGATATTGCTTCACCTATTAAACTCTCTTTGTCTTGACCCATGAGTTTTCCTGCTTTTGCACTTCCAATTCCCTCCCATGCCCTGCTGGGGTGGTGGGAGGCAAGGGGGAGTGAGCAAATTACTCTGTGGGTGCTTAGCTACTGGATGGGGTAAACCAAACTGAACACCTACCACAGTCTCATTGTTTCTGGTTTCTCCTTTGACCCACACACATCTTGATCAATGAGCTTCTCTGGTTTATTTTTTCCTCTTGTCCTGTTGAGTTGTCTGAGTGAGCAGCTGGGTAGCTGTCTGGCTGCTGGTCAAAGTTAACCCATCACAGGACCACATCAGGACTGCTGTGACCAGTACAGGGTTCCCCAGCACAAGAAAGATCCTGACAGACTAGAGTGAGTCCTGCAGAGGCCAGAAGGATGGTTGGGGCCTGGAGCATATTATGGACAAGGAGTGGCTGAGAGAGCTGGGGTTCTGAGAAATCCCTCAGAGCCAAACACTGCAGCAAGGACCCAGGCCAGTTGGTGGGATCTCACTCAATGAATATTTTCAGTATTTGTCAAGACAAGCCCATGAGCACCTGATCTAGCTGGAGCTGTCTGAGACAGGGCTTGGCTGAGAGACCAGCTGTGGCAAGAGCTATGGGACTTGGTGCGTAATGAGTGTCAGTAGGAAACTGGTTTCCTTTTTATTAATAATGGTGGTAAAGTTGGGTATCACTGGTGTTTCCTCTTCCAGGACTTTTCCAGCCCAGCCCAGCTCTCCCCACCTGCCCTGGCCCTAGGGCAGTGCCCACCACAGGGTGCTGTAGCACTCTGGGCACTCAACCATAGCTCCAGCTCCTCGGAAGGGCAAAGCAGCTCCTGGAGGTCAGACAGGGGGGTCAGATTTCCCACAAGCACCAGGGCTGATGCTGGCCAAAAGGGCAGGAGGAAGCAGAGGCCAGTCAGTCTCTAGCTCTGCTGCATTCATCTGGTAGGTTGTCTCTAACCTCGACTGCATTTACACCCTTCCCTTCCCCCACCAGCCCTGCTCCCCAGCACAGCACAAGAGTCCTGGGCCTGGGCCTCCTCAGGCAGCTCCTGCACTTCTCCAGTCTCCCCTTCCCATGCCCACTGGGTTCACACTGACCCCCAGGGCACTGCAGAGTCCTTGCTTGCATGTACCTTGATTTAGTGCTTTGCTTTTGGGGGACGTCAACTTCAAGGGTGTTTCACTCTGTGTGTGTCCATTCATTCCCACCCCAGGGCATGTGGTGACTCATCATCCTCTCCTGACCAAATTAATTTCCATAAAGACAGCTATATGCCATGAGTCCTGGCATAGGTAAATGTCGTGGTTTGAGCCTGGTCAGCAACCAACCACCGCCCTCCCTTCCCCCTCCCCACATGGGAATGGGGGAAGGAATTAGAGGGGTGAAGGGAGACTCGCAGGCTGAGATAGGAACAGTTTAATAATGGCAATAAAATGAGAACAATGATGATAAAAGGAAAAAAAGGAAATACATAAACAGGCACACATAAATTGCTCACCACCCGCTAACCAATATCCAGCCTGTTCCTGGCTAGCGACCCCAAGATACCAAGATACCACAATCGCAATCCCAGAAGCGAGAGAGCGAGCTCCTTCCCAACCACCCCTCCTCTACATAGTGACCATGACGTGCCATGATATGGAATATTTCATTGGCCAGTTTGGGTCTGGTGCTCGGGCCGTGCTCCCTCCCTGCTCCCTGTGCCCTTGCGCACGGGCAGAACATGAGGAGTCGGAGAGTCCTTGAAATCTCAGCAGCAGCTGAAAACATCAGTGTGCTATCAGTATTCTTCTCATACCAAACCCAAAGCTAAATCCAAAACACAGCACTCATCTAGTCCCTGAAAAGGAATATTAATTCTATTTCAGCCCAAGCCAGGACAGTATCCACCCCTTATTCCATATCATTTACGTTATGCTCAAGTTCCATATTACCCAGTACAGTCTAATTGATCGTTGTCCTTTCTCCTGGGTTTTAGGCATGTGCACACAGACATCATTCCCTCAGTCACTGGACCACCACTGCCGAATGTATCATAAGTTCATTTGGTTCATAACTTTGATTTCCATCTGTCATAATAGTCTTTTAAGGCAGGAAGGGTGATGCTTGGTCAGTAGGGCACAGGTGATTAGGTGACCTTGCAGAAGGAAGGCATGCAGTCCCTGTTACAGTTGGAGCTGGTGGCTGATGCATCTGATGCTGTCTGTATTCACAGTCTATGGAAGTTGCTGGGCATCAGTTGCTGAAGCCAACCCTGACTTTATTTGAGTTCATGTGTTCCTTCATGAATGTGATGACATTATATAATATGTGTCAATCATAGCGATGCACTGATAGGGTTGTTTGGTGATTGACCTAATACAGTTCAATTTATTGGCTATTTTCACCTAACATTAAGTCCCCTTGAGGCACACATCGGACTTCCCCATCCTTCTGCATTACAAACCAAGTGCACCCGGGTCCTTGTGCAAAGGTAATTCCCACATATGGGCTTACCTTTACCTGAAGTGGGAATAACCCAGACAGTCTTCCCCAGCATGTTGTTAAGGTGCACTACTGGGATTTTATCTCCATCTACAGTACGCAGAAGGTTGGACTGGGCAGGGCCAGCCTGGTTGGCAGATCCTCTTCTATTGACTAACCAGGTGGCCTTTGCTAAATGTGTGTCCCGGTGTTTAAAAGTTCCACCTCCCATTGCTCTCAGCATGGTCTTTAGTAGCCCATTGTACCGCTCAATTTTCCCAGAGGCTGGCGCATGATAGGGAATGTGATATACCCACTCAATGCCATGTTCTTTTTTCCCAGGTGTTAATGAGATTATTTCCAAAGTGAGTGCCATTATCTGACTCAATTCTTTCTGGGGTACCATGTCGCCACAGGACTTGTTTTTCAAGGCCCAGAATAGTGGCCTTTCCAAACAGAACCCCTGCACATCACCCACAGCAACCTTGTGGAAAACATAGGCATGATTTGTGTCAAGATAGAGTATGGTGTGATAAGTGTAATTGTTGTACTCTATGTGGATCTGAAATGATTTGTGATCACTATAACCTGTATAATAATTGTGGTGAATGTTGGAATCAAATGGAGACTGTGTAGGAATATAGAGTGTGCTTCTGGCTTGGAACAATGTAACCGCCTTTTAGAAACACTCCCTAGGGCAAATGTAAACTCTCCTTAGAAAACCTTCCCCTAGAGCTGATGCAATAGCTGCTTAGAAAAGGCCCACGGAAAGATGAGACCCCGGGACTTTCAAAAGACCCAATAGGAGGAAAGCACGCCAAGAGGTGGAAACCTTCAAACCTTCAAAAGATCCAATGAGAGGAGGAAACTACTCCAACAGTTCAAATGACCCAATGGAAGAAGTGCAGGACGACTATCTGATGGAAAGGGATTGGTCGAGACGCTGGTGAAAGAGTATAAAAGACATTGCTTTTAGAACTGAGTGTGCATTGTGGCAGAGTTGAGGCTCTCCACGCACCCAGCGCGGCTTTGCCTATTGCTTCTCACCCTGAATTGATTGAACCCAAATAAAATTATATGCTTTTTATAAAGATTGGCTTCATTCATTTGTATCAGCGGGACTTCCTGTGTGCCAGGTGGGGCTTCCTGTTTCAGCAGGCTTGGGGGGTGGGACTTCCTGGTACTGAGTCTGTCTGGGTGGGACTTCCTGGGGCTATAGTGGGGCGGGATTCTCCATTCACAGGGCTTGGGGGAGGAACTTCCTGTTTGGCCTGGAAATAGGGGCGGGGCTTCCTGTTATGCCTGTGGAAGGGGGTGGGTCTTCCTGTTCCGCTTGGGAGAAGGGGCGGTACTCCCCATTCTGCCTGGAGATGGGGGCGGGGCTTCCTGTCATGCCTGGACAGGGAGGTGGGGCTTCCCATTCCCTGGCAGGGCGGGGTGTGGGGGTGTGGTGTGTGGCTCCGCCCCCTGAGGGGTGTGTCCTGGCACAGGCAGGAGGCGGGGGTGGAGCTGTCGGGAATGGCCATGGCCGAGATGTCCCTGCTCAGCGGCTTCAGGCCCCATCGGCTCGACCTCGCATGGTACGGGCGGGGGGGGTTGGGGTGTGGGGGGTTGGGGTGTTCGAGGGTGTTGGGAGTTGGGGGTGTTGGGGGTGTTGAGGTGTGTTGGGGGTTGGTGTTTGTTGGGGTTTCTTGGGGTGCGTTGGGGAGTGTTGGGGTGTTGGGGGTGTTGGGGGTTTTGGGGAGTGTTGGGAGTTTTGGGGTGTTGGGGGTGTTGGGGGTGCTAGGGGGTGTTGGGGGTGTTGGAGTGTTCAGGGGTGTTGAGGGTGTTGGGGGTGTTAGGGGGTGTTGGGGGTGTTGGAGTGTTCAGGGGTGTTGAGGGTGTTGTGGGGGGTGTTGGGGGATGTGGTGGTGTTGGAGTGTTGGGGGGTGTTGTGGGGGGGGTGTTGGGGTGTAGGGGTGTTGGGGGTTCTTGGGAGGTGTTGGGGTGTTGGGGGTGTTGGGGGTGTTGGGGGTGTTGGGGGGCTGAGGTTTGTTGGGGTTTCTTGGGGTTTCTTGGGGGGTGTTGGGGAGTGTTAGAGTGTTGGGGGTGTTGGGGGTTGGGGTTTCTTGGGGTTTGTTGGGGGGTGTTGGGTGTTATTGGGGTATTAGGGGGTGTCTGGGTTGTTGGGGGTACTGGGGGTGTTGAGGGGGTTTGGGGATTTTGGGGTGCTGGGGGGTGTTGGGGTCTTGGGGTGTTGGGGGTGTTCAGGGGTGTTGAGGGTGTTGGGGTGTTGGGGTGCGGGGGGTGTCAGGTGTTGGAGTGTCGGGGTGTCAGGGTGCGAGGGCACAGGGGGTGTCAGGCATCGGGGTGCACTGTTGGAGTGTCACCATGTTCCCCCCCGGCTGCGGGACGTGGTCGATCGCTGGATCAGCCACTACGAGCTCAGCAGGACGCGGCTGGTCATCTACCTTGACGAGGTGGGGCACCCCCAGCCCCTGTCCCCTCTGTCCCCCTGTGTCCCCCCGTGTCCCCCCCCGTGTCCACCCCCCTGTGTCCCCCCACATCCCCTGTGTCCCCCCAGGTCCCCACGCGGCGCCAGTGCATCAGCTTCGGGGCCACCCAGGAGGTGGTCCTGGGGCAGATCCAGCCGGCCATGGCGGCTATCTACGACTACTATGAGCTGGGTGGGTGTGGCCAGAAAGGGGTGGGCGTGGCCATATTGAATTGGCGTGGCCAGAATGGGTGGGCGTGACCAGAAGGATGAGGTGTATTTGTGGGTGGGCTCTGGGTGGGGGGCAGAGCTCTGCTGTGGGTGGAGCACTAGTGGGTGGGTCCTGGGGCAGGGTGGGGACATGTCTCCCCACTGACTCCATCCCCTCCAGCTCAGCACTGCACTGTGTCCTACAGCGACCCCCACAGGAGCAGTGTGCCACCCACCCTCTGCTCCTCCCAGCTCTACCTCTGCGCCCAAGGTGGGACCACGGCAGGGGGGACCCCGAAATCTGGGGGGACACCCCGATATCTTGTTGGGGGGAGAATTGGGGGGGGTGCAGGGGTTTCAGCCTGCGATGCACCTCCCCGCCCCTCCAGGCGTGTGCCCCCGCCTCTGGCGGGCATTGCCGGCCCTGATGCTGGGCGATCACCTGGACTTTGCCTGCTACAGCCCCCACATCAACTATGGTGACCCTTGACCCCGACCTTGACCCCTGACCCCAGCGCCCCAGTAACCCCTTTGACCCCAGCGAAGCCTGACCCCTGACCCTCATGACTCCTCCAAACCTCAGGAGCCTCCTTGACCCTCCAACCTCTGTGACCCACTGTCCTGGTTCAGGCTGGACGAGAGTTCCTGTTCGTTTTAGTAGCGGGAGGAGCTGCAGCCCCCTGAGACCCCAGGGGCTCCCCAGGCCCCAGTGCCCTCACCTGTGTGCGGGGGTGGGGGAGCACAGCTGGAGGGCTGGGCCGGGATTGGCCGATAGTCCATGTCACGTGACATTATGCTCACCATATAAAGGCAGGAGAGGGCTGGGAGAGGGGCCACTTCTGGGAGTGGGGCTGTGGGGCCTGTGTGTTTGGGATTGCTGGCTGGGGAGCAGGCGGGTGTGGGTCGGCGGGTGGTGAGCAGCTGTATTGTACATTACCTGCTGATACTGCTGTCAGTGTATTATTCTGTTACTATTATTAAACTGTTTTTTATCTCAACCCACGAGTCTCCCTTTGCCCCTCCGATTCCCTCCCCATTCCCAAGTGGGGGGAGGGTGGGTGAGCGGCTGTGTGGCGTTTAGCTGCTGAGTAGGCTCAAACCACAACAGTCCTTTTTGGCGCCCAACGTGGGGCACGAAGGGTTGAGATAATAACAGATTTGATCTGTGGGTACTATCAAGTTTGTTATAATGCCGACTGCCCATCCTGTTATAATGTCATTTGCTTGGCTCCTAAAATCGTGGGATTTGTTGCTGCAGTTGTGTTATACATCACATTACTTAACATATGTAGTCCCCATGTCGTTGCTTATTACCCGTGGGAATTGGATTAAGATTTTTGCCTTGCTGTATTATGTAACTCTAATTTATGGCATGATAAAATCTTCGGTCCTGGGAGTTATGGGGCACCTACTGGAGTGGGTTAGTAACTATACCCTCCACCTTTTCTCCTCAGAAAGCCCACCCAAGGGGGAGATACCTTTTTCCATCTTCCCCTTCTCCAAGCTACTTGCAAGTATACTTGAGAATGCTGAGAACTCTGAATATCCATGGAATGCTCATATTAATGTTGTTGTCTTGTTTCTGGAAGCTGTAGTGTTCCTGACTGTGGTTCAGGTTCTGTTTCGGGTTAAGCAACTGTTTCTGAATACCAACCAGAGGTCTACCCCAGGGTTGCAGAGTTATGAGTGGTTGGGAGTGTGGGGTAGCATGGGCAAGTACCTAGGACAGTGGGGACCTCCAATGTTTTGGAATTTCACCCCTGAACAAGTGCGGGATCCTGAGAAATTAGTAAAATATTCAGAAAAGGTGTGCTGTCATCCTGACACCTCAAGAGAGACGTAGATCATTGCAACATGCTGGGGCCTGGCCCGTGGCTACCGAACCCTGCTTGCCACCATGCAGTACCCTCAAAAGGAAGACGTCTCTGCATCTGCGAGCAAAACAACCGGCACTGCAACCACTCTGACACCCCCACCAGGCACTGCAGCCACTCTAACTCAGGCGACCGACGCTGCAGCCAATCCGACCCCTACGATAAGTACTGCGCGTGAACTGGAGCATCATTCCACAACAGTATCAGTTGCTCCCATACAGAAGAAGAAATACACTAAAAAATCCCCTCGCATTATAAAAGATGATGATGAACCAGGGCCCTCACAAGAACGAGGAGGAGGCAGAGCCAGTGGTAATCACCCGATCTCTATCCCTGAGTGAACTACGAGACATGAGAAAGGATTTCAGCTGCCATCCAGGCGAACACCTCCTTACCTGGCTGCTCCGATGCTGGGATAGCGGGGCCAACAGTGTGGAATTAGAAGGTAGAGAAGCCAGGCAACTGGGATCCCTGTCCAGGGATGCAGGCATTGACAAGATTATTGGAAGAAAGACACAAACGCTCAGCCTTTGGAGATGACTACTGTCAGGTGTGAGGGACAGATATCCCTTCAAAGAAGATCTTACATGTCATCTAAGTAAGTGGACTGCCATGGAGAGAGGTATCCAATACCTGAGGGAACTGGCTGTGCGGGAGATGGTTTATTATGATCCAGACGATGCGCGGCTACCCACAGACCCAGATGGAGTCCAATGCAGCCGGCCCATGTGGCAGAAGTTTATACGGAGTGCTCCATCTTCACATTCGAATGCACTAGCAGTATTTGACTGGAGAGACGAAGAGGGACCAGCTACGGATGACTTGGCTCGCCGACTCCGGCACTACGAAGAAAGTCTCTCTTCTTCCATCGTCGCGGCTGTGGAGGAACTGTCACAAGAAGTCCGACAACTCAAAGAGGACATGTCCTACTCTCCACCTCCACAGACTAAGGTCTCAGCTATCAGGAGCAAACGACTCCCTACTCAAGCGAGACGGTATACACCACGGGGGAACCTATGGTATTACCTGCGTGACCATGGAGAGATATGAGGAAATGGGACGGGAAACCCACCTACGTTCTAAGAGAGCTGGTCCGAGAGTTGGAAGGAAGAATGGCTACAAATCAAGGTTCTTCCAGGATAAGTGCTGCTCCAGTCTCAGCTAATCAGTTACCCAAACAGCGTAGAAGAATTGACTTTGCTCCTGATCCTATGAGGAGAACTTCTGAGTCGTACTTACAAGAAGTGAGTAACCAGGATGAGACCAAGGTTCGCACAGACTGCACTAACCCCTTCATCAACAATGGATACTATGAGCAGCATTAGAGAGGCCCTGCCTCCAGCCAGGTGGAGGAGAGGGACAATCGTGTTTACTGGACTGTGTGGATTCGATGGCCTGGCACATCGGATCCCCAGGAGTATAAGGCTTTGGTAGACGCTGGTGCCCAGTGCACCCTGATGCCGTCGAATTTCCAAGGGACAGAGGCTATCTGTATCTCAGGAGTGACAGGAGGTTCTCAACAGCTGACTGTGTTGGAGGCTGAGGTGAGCCTAACTGGAAATGAGTGGCAAAAGCAACCTGCTGTAACTGGCCCGGAAGCTCCCTGTATTCTTGGAATAGATTATCTCCGGAGAGGGTATTTTAAGGACCCAAAAGGGTACCGGTGGGCTTTTGGTATAGCTGCCTTGGAGACAGAAGAAATTAAACAGCTGTCCACTCTGCCAGGGCTCTCAGAGGATCCTTCTGCTGTGGGACTGCTGAAGGTTGAAGAGCAACAGGTGCCGATCGCTACCACGACTGTGCACTGACGGCAATATTGCACCAACAGAGACTCTGTAGTTCCCATCCACCAACTGATTCGTCAACTCGAGAGCCAAGGGGTGATCAGCAAGACTCGCTCACCCTTCAACAGCCCCATATGGCCAGTGCAGAAGTCTAATGGAGAGTGGAGACTGACAGTGGACTATCGGGGCCTGAATGAAGTCACACCACCATTAAGTGCTGCTGTGCCAGACATGCTGCAGCTTCAGTATGAATTGGAGTCAAAGGCAGCCGAGTGGTACGCCACAACTGATATCGCCAATGCCTTTTTCTCCATCCCTCTGGCAGCAGAATGCAGGCCACAGTTTGCTTTCACCTGGAGGGGTGTCCAATACACCTGGAACAGACTGCCCCAGGGGTGGAAACACAGTCCCACTATTTGCCATGGACTGATCCACACTGCACTGGAACAGGGTGAAGCTCCAGAACATTTACAATACATTGATGACATCATTATATGGGGGAATACAGCAGAAGAGGTTTTTGAGATGGGAGAGAAAATAGTTAAAATTCTTTTGAGAGCTGGCTTCGCCATAAAACGAGGTAAAGTCAAGGGCCCTGCACAGGAGATTCAGTTTTTAGGAATCAAATGGCAAGATGGACGTCGTCAGATTCCAATGGATGTGATTAATAAAATAACAGCTATGTCTCCACCAACCAGCAGAAAGGAAGTACAAGCTTTCTTAGGTGTGATAGGCTTCTGGAGAATGCATATTCCAAATTACAGTCAGATTGTAAGCCCTCTTTATCAAGTGACCCGAAAGAAAAATTACTTTTTATGGGGCCCTGAACAAAAGCAAGCTTTTGAACAAATTAAACAAGAAATCGTCATGCTGTAGCCCTTGGGCCAGTTCGGGCAGGACATGATGTTAAAAATGTGCTCTACACTGCAGCCGGGGAGAATGGCCCTACCTGGAGTCTTTGGCAGAGGGCACCAGGCGAGACTCGGGGTCGACCCCTGGGATTCTGGAGTCGAGGATATAGAGGATCTGAAGCCCGTTATACTCCAACTGAAAAAGAGATACTGACAGCATATGAAGGGGTTCGAGCTGCTTCAGAAGTGATTGGTACAGAAGCACAGCTCCTCTTGGCACCCCGACTGCCGGTACTGGGCTGGATGTTCAAAGGGAGGGTCCCCTCGACACATCATGCAACTGATGCTACGTGGAGTAAGTGGGTCGCGCTCATCACAACGGGCTCGAATAGGAAGCGCCAACTGCCCAGGAATACTAGAAGTAATTACAAATTGGCCAGAGACCAAAGACTTTGGAATGTCACCAGAGGAAGAAGTGACCCGAGCTGAAGAGGCACCGCCATATAATGAGCTACCGGATAATGAGAAGCAATATGCCTTATTTACCGATGGGTCCTGCCGCATTGTAGGGAAACATCGGAAGTGGAAGGATGCTGTATGGAGCCCCACACATCAGGTCGCAGAAGCTGTTGAAGGAGAGGGTGAATCCAGTCAATTTGCAGAAGTGAAAGCCATCCAGCTGGCCTTAAGTATCGCCGAGCAAGAAAAATGGCCAGTCCTTTATCTCTACACTGATTCATGGATGGTGGCAAATGCCCTGTGGGGGTGGTTGCGACAGTGGAAACAGAGTGGCTGGCAGCATAGAGGCAAACCCATCTGGGCTGCTGATTTGTGGCAAGATATTGCTGCTCGAATAGAGAACTTGGTTGTGAAAGTACGCCACGTAGATGCTCATATACCCAAAAATCAAGCAACGGAAGAACATCAAAACAACCACCAGGTGGACCAGGCTGCAAAGATTAAGGTGGCCCAAGTAGATCTGGACTGGCAGCATAAGGGCGAAAAATTTATGGCTCGTTGGGCCCATGACTCCTCGGGCCATCAAGGAAGAGACGCAACATATAGATGGGCTCGTGACCGAGGGGTGGACCTAACTATGGACATTATATCACAGGTTATCCATGAATGTGAGACATGTGCTGCAATCAGGCAGGCCAAGCGGTTAAAACCTCTTTGGTATGGAGGGAGATGGTTAAAGTATAGATATGGGGAGGCCTGGCAGATTGATTACATCACGCTCCCACAAACTCGGCATGGTAAAGTGTTATGTGCTCACAATGGTAGAAGCAACTACCGGATGGCTGGAAACATATGCTGTGCCCCATGCCACTGCTCGGAACACTATTCTGGGCCTTGAAAAACAAGTCCTGTGGCGGCATGGCACCCCAGATAGAATTGAGTCAGATAATGGTACTCATTTTCGAAATAATCTTATAAACACCTGGGCAAAAGAACATGGCATTGAGTGGATATATCATATCCCCTGTCATGCCCCGGCCTCCGGGAAAATTGAGCGGTATAATGGGTTACTAAAGACCATGCTGAGAGCAATGGGAGGCGGAACTTTTAAGCATTGGGACACACATTTAACAAAGGCCACCTGGTTAGTCAATACAAGAGGATCTGCCAACCAGGCTGGCCCTGCCCAGTCAAACATTCTGCATATTGTAGATGGAGACAGAGTCCCGGTAGTGCACCCTAAAAACATGCTGGGGAAGACCGTCTGGGTTATACCTCCTTCAGGTAAAGGTAAGCCCATCCGTGGGATTACCTTTGCCCAAGGACCCGGGTGCACTTGGTGGGTAATGCAGAAGGACGGGGAAGTCTGATGTGTACCTCAAGGGGACTTAATGTTAGGTGAAAATAGCCAATAAGCTGTATTAGATTAGTAACCACACCACCCTACCAATGCTTTGTTATGGCAAACATGAACGTGGATGAAAATAGGACTGGTTCCAGCAACTGATGCCCAGCGACAGCCGCAGACTGTGAATACAGACAGCATCAGATGCATCAGCTCCAGCTGCAACAGAGACTGCATGCCATCCTCCTGTCAAGTCCAAGGACACCTCTGCCCTACGGACTGAGCATCGCTCCTCCTGCCTGAAGGGACTGTTATGACAGATGGAACCTGAAGCTATGGACCAAGTCAACTCATGATACATCCTGCAGTGATGGACCATGGACTGAGGGAATGACATCTGTATGCGTATGTCTTTGACCAAGGAAGAGGATTGTAAATAACAATAATGTATTAGAAATATGGAACATGAGCATAATGTAAAATGATATGGAATAAGGGGTGGATACTGTCCTGGTTGGGGCTGGACTAGAGTTCCTGTTCGTTTTAGCAGCGGGAGGAGCTGCAGCCCCCTGAGACCCCAGGGGCTCCCCAGGCCCCAGTGCCCTCACCTGTGTGCGGGGGCGGGGGGAGCACAGCTGGAGGGCTGGGCCGGGATTGGCCGATAGTCCATGTCACGTGACATTATGCTCACCATATAAAGGCAGGAGAGGGCTGGGAGAGGGGCCACTTCTGGGAGTGGGGCTGTGGGGCCTGTGTGTTTGGGATTGCTGGCTGGGAGCAGGCGGGTGTGGGTCGGCGGGTGGTGAGCAGCTGTATTGTACATTACCCGCTGATACTGCTGTCAGGGTATTATTCTGTTACTATTATTAAACTGTTTTTATCTCAACCCGTGAGTCTCCCTTTGCCCCTCCGATTCCCTCCCCATTCCCAAGTGGGGGGAGGGTGGGTGAGCGGCTGTGTGGCATTTAGCTGCTGAGTAGGTTCAAACCACAACACCCCTGTGACCCCTGTGACCATGACCCCTGTGACCTTGACCCCATGACTGCTGTGACCCTAACCCCTGTGACCCCCGTGACCCTGACCCCCATGACCTTGACCCCAGGATCCCCATGACTCTGACCCCTATGCCCTTGACCCCTGTGACCCCCATGACCCCTGACCCCCATGACCTTGTCCCCTGACCCCAGCACTGGTGGTTCAAGCACTGGCCCAGAGTGAGGTTGGGCCCTTCCTGGCCTTTGAGATCGAAATCCTGGAGGTTCTACTGGGAGGTGGGACTGGGGGGACTGGGAGGGACTGGGAGGTGCTCAGGGGGAAACTGGGGGTGGGGGTTGAGAGGACTGGGGGAAGAATGGGGGCATTGGGAGGGACTGGGTGGACTGAGAAAGGAGACTGGGGGGATTGTGAGGGAGTGGGAGTGGAAACTGGGTGGACTGGGATGGAAACTGGGGAGACTGGGAGGACTGGAGGGGCACACTGGGAGAGGGTGAGAGGACTGGGAGAGGAGCCTGGGGGCACTGGGAGGGGCTGAAGGGCCACTAGAGGGCGCTGTGGGACAATACTGGTCTATATTGGGATGTACAGAGAGGTGCTGGTGGAGCACTGGAGGGGCATAAGAGCACCATGGGGGTCCCTGGGCCATACTGGGAGGGGGGTTGGGCCATACTAGGGGGAACTGGGATATGCTGGACCATACTGGGGTGAAGCTAGAGGGGCCCTGAGTTATACTGGGGAGCACTGGGATGTACTGGGCCATACTGGGGTGGCACAGTGGGGACCCTGAGTCACACTGGGAGAGCCTGAGACTGAACTGGGCCGGACTGGGAAAGCTGGGGGGTGTGTGTGGGGGTGTGAGCTGCGCTGGAGGCGTTACTGGTGTGTACTGGTTGTTACTGGTGCTGACTGGTCCCAACTGGGCGGCAGAGGTGGCCCGGGGGGCGTGGCCAGGTGCTAGGGCGGGGCAGCTGCCCGCTGAGGGTCCGCCCCCCTCAGAGGATCCTGCTGATGGGGCGGGGATGGACACCAATGGATGGTGAGAAGGGACCCAAATGTCCCCAAAGGTCCCCGAAGGTCCCCATGTCCCCCCCATCCCCATGTCCCCAAGTGTCCCCCGTGTCCCCCCATGTCCTGAAAAGTCCTCAAGTATCCCCAAATGCCCCCCATGTCCCCAACTGTCCTCAATTGTCCCCAAATGTCCCCATGTGCCACATGACCCCAAGTGTCCCCAAATATCCCTCATGTCCCCCATGTTCCCCCATGTCCTCAGCTGTCCCCAAATAACCCCGTGTCCCCAAATGTCCCCCATGTCCCCCATGTCCCCATGTCCCCCCATTTCCCCAACTGTCCCCCATGTCCCCCCATGTCCCCATGTCCCCCCATTTCCCCAACTGTCCCCCATGTCCCCCTGTCCCCCAAATATCCCCAAATATCCCCAAATGTCCCTCATGTCCACCCATGTCCCCAAATATCCCCAAATGTCCCCCATGTGTCTTCATGTGTCCCCATGTCCTCAACTGTCCCCAAGTCTCCCCAAATGTCCCCCCATGTCCCCCATATTCCCAAGTGTCCCCAAATGTCCCCAAATGTCCCCTGTGTCCCTCATGTCCCCCCGTCATCAACTGTCCCCAAATGTCCCCAATGTCCCTGTGTCCCCAAGTGTCCCCAACTGACCCCAACTGTCCCCCCGTGTCCCCCCGTCCCCGTGTCACCGTCCCCCCCAGCCCCCAGTTCCTGCTGGGTCCCCACCCCTGGGTGGAGGAGGTGCCGCCCCGCCCCGCTGCGCCCCAGCCACGCCCTGCCGCCCCCTGCTGGACTTCCTGCACACCCTGCGCCCCTCGGCTGCCCCGCCTGACCCCGCCACCGGGAGCCACTGGGAACATACCACGAGCCACTGGGACCACGCTGGGGGGCCAACTGGGAGCCACTGGGAGCAACTGGGACCATGCTGGAAGAAACTGGGCCATACTGGGAGGAAGTGGGATTATGGGGAGGGGGGGTAACTGGGACCATGCTGGTGCAACTGGGAGTTACTGGGAGCAAGTAGTACCACACTGGAAGTGACTTGGACCATACTGGGGGGAAGTGAGATCATGCTGGGGGGCAACTGGGAGTGACTGGGAGTGTGCTGGGGGCGCACTAGGAGCAACTGGTATCAGACTGGGAGGAACTGGGAGCAGTGTGGACCAAACTGGAAGCAACTGGGAGTGACTGGAGGTGCCTGTGACCGTGCTGGGGAGACTGGGATATACTGGGAGAAACTGGAACTATGCTGTGGGCAACTGAGTTCATACTGGGAGCCACTGGGAGCACACTGGGAGGAACTGGGACCATGCTGGGGGTAACTGGGATCATACTGGGAGCCCCTGGGATCATACCGGGAGCACACTGCGGGTGAACGGGAGTGACTGGGAGAAAGTGGGATCACCCTGAGGGTGACTGGGAGTGAGTGGGAACATGCTGGGGGCAACTGGGATATACTGGGAAGTACCCAGTGGGTGACTGGGATCATACTGGGAGTGACTGGGAGCATGTTGGGGGCAACTGGCAGCATGCTGGGGGCAACTGGAAGCAACTGGGAATGTGCTGGGGGCATATTGGGATCACACTGAGAGAAACTGGGAATACACTGAGGGCAACTGGGATCATATTGGGAATATACAGGGGATATAATAGGAGTGACTGGGATCGTACTGGAGGTGACTGGGAGCAACTGGGAGTGATTAGGAACATGTTGGGTGAGACTGGGATCACACTGGGAGCAACTGGGACTATACTGTGGGCAACTGAGGTCATACTGGGAGCAACTGGAATCATATGGTAGGGATGGAAGCAACTGGGACCACGCTGAGAGCAAATGGGATCATACTGGGAGCAGCTGGGCTCATGCTGGGAGCAACTGGGGGTGACTGGGATCATACTGGGAGTGACTGGGACTATGCTGTGAGCATCTGGGGTCATGGTGGGGGCAACTGGGAACGACTGGGAGTGATTTGGAACATGCTGAGGGCAACTGGGATATACTGGGAGCAACTGGAACTACATTACAGGCAATTGGGATCATACTGAGAGCAATGAGAATCGTACTGGTAAGTAATGGGAGTGACTGAGGTCATGTTGGAGGCAACTGGGATATAGTGGGAACAACTGGGACCGTGCTGGGGCAACTGGGAGTGACTAGGCTCACTCTGGGGCAACTGGGATCATAGTGGGTTGACAGGAAGCATGCTGGGGGCAACTGGGAGTGATTAGGAGCATGCTGGGGGCAACTGGGATCACACGGGGAGCAGCTGGGCTCATGCTAGGGTCAACTGGAAGTGACTGGAACCATACCGGGAGTGACTGGGATCATATTGGGAGTGACTGGGAGTGACTAGGAGCACACTGGGGCAACTGGAACTGGTGTGGGCAACTGAGATCATACTGGGAGCAACTGGAGTAATATTTAGAGGGACTGGGAATGACTGGGAGCATGCTAGGAGTAACTGGGAGTGTTTGAGGGCATGCTGAGGGCAACTGGGATATACTGGGAGCAACTGGAACTACGCTATGGGCAACTGGATCATACTGGGAGTGACTTGAATCATACTGAGAGTGACTTGAATCATACTGGGAGTGACTGGAACCATGTTGGGTGTGACTGGGAGCAACTGTGGTGATGGTAGGGGCAAATGGGAGTGACTGGGAGTGACTGGGAGCATGTTGGAGGCAGCTGGGACCATACTGGGAGTGACTGGGATCATGCTGGAAGTGGGATCATACTGGGAGGGATTGGGAGTATGCTGGGGGAAACTGGGATCATACTGTGAATATACAAGGGTCAACCTAGGAGTGACTGGGATCATACTGGGGGTGACTGGGAGAAACTGGGAATGATTAGGAGCATGTTGGGTGTAACTGAGATCATACTGGTTGTGACTGGGACTATGCTGTGGGCAACTGGGGTCATACTTGAAACAACTGAAGTCATACTGTGAGGGACTGGGAGCACGCTGGGGCAGCTGGGATCATATTGGGAGCAACGGGAATCATATTGGGGACAACTGGGAGGGACTGGAAATGGCTGGGAGCATGCTGGGGGTGACTGGTATGTACTGGGAGCAACTGGAACTACTCTGGGAGCAACTGGGATCATACTGGGAGCAACTGGAATCATACTGGAAGTAGCTGGGACCATTCTGGGAGCAACTGGGAGTGATTGGGGGGCATGCTGGGGCAACTGGGATATACTAGGAGCAACTGGAACTGCGCTATGGGCAACTGAGATCATGCTGGGGCAACTGAAATCATACTGGGAGTGAGTGGAAGTGCTTAGGAGCATGTTAGGTGTAACTGGAATCATATTGGGAGCAACTGGGACTATGCTGGGGGCAACTGTGGTCACACTGGGAGCAGCTGGGCTCATGCTGGGAGCAACTGGAATTACATGGAACCAGACTGGGGGGAACTGGGATCACACTGAGGAACTGGGAGCGACTAGGAGCACACTGGGGGCAACTGGGATACAGTGGGAGGAGCTGGGAGCACACTGCTGGCTGCCGGATCGTACTGGGAGTGACTGGGAGCAACTGGGGTCACACTGGGGCAAGTAGAGTGACTGGAAGCACGCTAGGGGTGACTGAGAGCAACTGGGGTCACACCGGGAGCAACTGGGAGTGAGCAGGACCATGCTGGGAGCAACTGGGAGTGACTGGGAAGAGTGAGTCCATTCAGGAGGTGACTGGGATCGTACTGGGAGCAAGTGGGACCACAGGGGGCAAACAGATGCGGCTGGGAATCACACTGGTAATGACTGGGAGCATGTTGGGTGTAACTGGGGTCATACTGGGAACAAGTGCCTCCCCCCTTCCCCCGGGAAACGCTGAGCCAGCGCTCACCGTGGTGGGGCGCGGATATGCAAATTTATGCTAATGTCCCCTCTGTCTCTTCCCGCTCCGCGGCCGCCGAGTCACCATCGAGACGCGGCCTCCGACAGCGCAGAACTGCCGAGCGGCCGCCTATTGGTCGGGCCGTGGGAGCGGCGGGCGGAAGTGGCGTCAGGGCGCGGAAGTTTGAATCCATCCGAGCGCAGCGACAGGTTAGGGGGAGGCTCGGGGGGGGGGCTCGGCCGTGACGTCACGGCGCGGGGATGTCATAGAGGGGAGGAAGGGGGAGCGGTGGGGAGTGACGTAGGCTGGGGGGGGGGGGGCTTAGGGGCGGTTGGAGGGGGGCACCGCGGGCCGGACCCCTCATTCTCCCCACCCCTCCCCCCCAAGGGGGTGGAGCCTCGCCATGCCCCGCTCCAAGCCCGCCGCGCCCCGGCGCCGCCGCGTCCCGAGACCCCGCCTCCGGCCCCCGCCTCCGGCCCCGACCCCGGCCCGCCGGCCCCGTCGTGAGTGGAAGGGGAGGGGTTGGGACCCCCCCTATGGAACCCCCCTGTAGATCGCCCTGATCCTTCCCTGACCCCCTCCCCGGCCCTATAGAACCCCCCCAACCCCTATAGAACCCCCCTGACCCTATAGACCCTTCCCTGACATCCCCCCCAGCCCTATAGAGCCCCCCCGACCCTATAGACCCTTTCCTGACCACCCCCCCCGGCCCTATAGAACCGCCCCCCCACCCGGCCAATAAACCCTTCCCTGACCGCCCACCCACCCCAGCCCTATAGAACCTTCCCTGATCACACCCCCCCCCCTATAGACTCCCTCTGGACCCTATAGATCCTTCCCTAACCCCCCCCACCCTCCGGGCCCTATAGACCCCCCCCTGGACCTTATACATCCCTCTCTAAATCCCCCCTGGACACTACAGACCCTTCCCTGACCCCCCTCCACGGCCTTATAGACCCCTCTTGGACCCAATGGATCACTCCCTACCACCAGACCCTATAGATCTCCACACACCCTATAGATCCCTCCCCCTATAGATCCCCCCAACCCTATAAATTCCCCGATCCCCAGCCCTATAGATCCCTCCTACACCCTATGGGTCCCTCCCTACCACCCTGCATCCTATAGACTCCCCCAAACCCTATAGGTCCCTCCCAGACCCTATAGGTCCCTCCCTTTCCACCCTGGACCCTGTAGGTTCCCCCCCCGACCTTATAGTTCTCTCTCTTTCCCAAACCCAGCCCTATAGATTCCCCCGGGCCCCGTTGATCCCCACCCCCTCCAGACCCTATAGATCTCTCCCAGCCCCTATAGAACTCCCGGGAGAGGGACCCTATGGATCCCTGCCTCCCCCCAACCCTGGACTGGATGGATCCCTCTGTTATTCCTGCCCTGGGCCATATAGATCTCTTTGGA